GAATACAACTTAAATGAGTTTGAAAAGTTTTGTGAAGATATTGGCTTGGAGAGACAATTAATGGTTGGGTACACTCCACAACAAAATGGAGTGGCAGAAAGGAAAAATAGAACAATCATTGAGATGGGAAAATCAATGCTTCATGAGAAGGGGCTACCTAAATCATTTTGGGGTAAAGCCGTGTATACGGCTGTTTACTTGATGAATAGGAGTCCAACAAAAGCGGTGGAGAATAAAACTCCATTTGAAGCATGGAGTGGAAGGAAGCCATCATTGAAACACTTAAAAGTTTTTGGGTGTATTTGTTTTGCTTATGTTCCAAGAGAAGTGAGACACAAACTTGATGAAGCTAGTGAAAAATGCATCTTTGTGGGTTATAGCTCAAAATCAAAGGGCTATAGACTCTTTAATTTGAAGAAGAATAAATTGATTATTTGTAGAGATGTTCTCTTTAACGAGAAGGCTGCTTGGGATTGGAAAGAGAAGAAAGTTCAAGATCAAATCCCCATTTTCAATGAAGAATCAGGAAATTAAGAAAATGAAAATGAAGATTTTCTTGAAGTTCCACAAGAAATGTCTCCCGTATCTAGCTTACAATCAATCCCAACTTCTCCATCAAACTCAAATTCCTCATTTCCAAGTTCAACTCCAAGAAGAATGAAAAGTCTTAGTGATGTGTATGCAAGTTGTAATTTTTGTGTTGTTGAACCGAAGAACTTTGAAGAAGCAATTAAACAAGAGGCATGGAAAAAAGCTATGGAAGATGAAATTTATGTGATTGAGAAGAATAAGACTTGGGAGTTAGTAGAGAAGCCAGAAGACAAAGATGTGATTGGTGTGAAATGGATTTTTAAAACAAAATTCAATCCGGATGGTTCCATTCAAAAGAACAAAGCAAGACTTGTAGCAAAAGGGTATTCACAACAGCCCGGAATTGATTTTCAAGAAACTTTTTCACCCGTGGCTCGTCTTGACACAATTAGAGCACTCATTGCCTTGGCGGCTCAAAATGCTTGGTCCTTGTATCAACTTGATGTAAAATCAGCCTTCTTGAATGGTATTTTGAAAGAGGATGTCTATGTAGAACAACCTCAAGGCCTTGTTGCAAAAGGAGAAGAAGAGAAAGTTTACAAATTAAAGAAGGCTTTGTATGGCCTAAAACAAGCACCCCGGGCATGGTATAGTGAGATTGATTCTTACTTCATCAAAAAAGGCTTTCAAAGGAGCAAAAGTGAGCCATCCTTGTACTACAAGACACAAGGTAAAACTGGGATTCTTATTGTTTCTCTTTATGTTGATGATTTGGTATTTACCAGAAGTGATGAAAAAATGATTGATGATTTTAAAAGAGAGATGATGAAAAAATATGAAATGAGTGATTTGGGTTTGTTGCATTACTTCTTAGGCATTGAAATTTATCAAAAAGAAGGAGGAGTTTTTATTTGTCAAAAGAAGTATGCAAAAACTCTTCTTGAAAAATTCAAAATGTTGAATTGCAAATCCGTTTGCACTCCCTTGGTTGTGAATGAAAAATTGATGAAAGAAGATGGAAGTAAAGAAGCGGATGTATCTCTCTATAGAAGCTTGGTTGGAAGTCTATTATATTTGACATCTTCAAGACCCGACATCATGTATGCTACAAGCTTATTATCTCAGTTTATGCACAATCCAAGTCAAATTCATGTTGGGGCTGCAAAGAGGGTATTGAGATATATACAAGGTACACTTGATTTTGGTATCTTGTATGAGAAAAATGTTGATGCAAAGTTGTTTGGTTTTTGTGATAGTGATTGGGCCGGATTTGTTGATGATATGAGAAGTACTTCCGGTTATGCATTCTCTCTTGGTTCGGGTGTATTTTCATGGGCATCTAAAAAGAAAGAAACGGTTGCGCAATCTTTTGCCGAGGCTGAGTATATTTTAGCATCAATGGCAGCGTCACAAGCAATATGGCTAAGGAGAATTTTTGAAGATGTTGGTGAGAAGCAAAGGGAAGCTACTCTAATTTTATGTGACAACAAATCCGTAATTGCTATGACAAAGAATCCTATTTTCCATAGTCGCACAAGACACATTGCAATCAAGCATCACTTCATTAGAGAAGCCATGGAGAATGAAGAGATTCAACTCAAGTATTGTAAGACAGAAGACCAAGTTGCGGACATTTTTACCAAAGCACTTCCAAAAAATAAGTTTGAATACTTTAGAGAATTGTTGGGTGTCACAACATGGCATTAAGGGGGGTGTGTTAAAAATAATTAATGCCATGTTCATTCATGTATATGTTCATTCATGCATCTATTATTGTACATGTATCAAGTGTGTGCATGTATCATGTGTGTGGTTGAGATTGTCTTGAAAAGTTCAAAGGTCTATGGGGGAATAGTATATATAGGGTAATGTATTTGTTGTTAAGAGATGAACACAACAAAGAATTCAATTCAATACAATATTTGTTTCTCTCCTCTCTTCACTTACAAATTATTTAGTTGGTTGAAACTATAGCCAATAGAGATTTCCTACTATGAACCTGAATGGCCACTTTCTTCGGCAAAGGAACAAAGTTAAAGGCTTATTAAGATTATTGCATGGCAGCGGGTAACCATCCTGATATTCAATTGGCGAATTGCTTGCAATCAAGTTTTCATTGCAACCCATGGATAATGACAGATTCGTTAAAGAAGAAATTGGAGTGAAGCTTAAATTGCTAATAGAGGGCCCCATTATGATGACACCAGTAGAGTCATAAGGGTCACCTAATTGAAAATTCTTTGTTTTATCTGTAACAATGGTAATCTCCAGACTTGCTATATCACCAATTAACTCACCAATCAACTCTTCCGCATCCTCCTCAACATTGTTTAATTTGAAAACTTCATCAAGCGGATCTTGAACTGATCCATATTGCTCACTTTCAACAACTAATTGTTTTTCAGTGTCATTTTCTTCCACCGTATTGAGTCCCTTAATTGCATAATCTATAACCATAAAAAGTGGAGCAACACAATTTTTCTTTTGATCGATCTCTATAACATCACTTGTTACTTGAACAAAATTACTTTGATCTTCCTTCTTGTCATCTATTTCTTTCTTCTCTTCAAAACAATTTTTTTTAGATTCCGTTTCTTGGATGCAATTTTTTTCTTGTGTAAACTTGTCCAATGGAGAAGAAGGTTGAGGCTTCGAATACAACGATAAATCAGTATAAGGCTGAACCTTGGTACACTGTGGTTGATAATCTTGGTATGGCTGAAATTGAATCTTCTCATACTCTTTATAATCTAGTGGAAGAAATTTGGCTTTCAAAAGACGTTTCATCTTCAACCAAGATCGTATTAATGCTTTTCTTTGTCGTGCATGAGTGACCCGTAGTTGATGCCACCAAACAGAAGCTGCTCCCTTCAATTTGTATGCGACTAGTGCCACCTTCTTATCCTCTGGAATCCCTATGTAATCAAAGAACTTCTCAAAATCTTCTAGCCAATCTAAAAAATCTTCAACATGAAAGAGACCATCAAAACTTCTAGGAGGAAAATTCCTAGAATCATAATCATGATAACTTCGTGCGTCTCTATGATCCCCAAACACCTTTTCCTCATAGGTTGACTGACTATGCGGAGGGAAGGGGTTGCAATTACGAACAGGATGAACACGATCTACGTCGTTGCGCAACCTATTGTTATCGCGATTTTGCTTTAGACCCAACTTAAGCCTAACAATCTTTGCTTGAATATCTTGCAACGTTTGCTGGGTTTCACGTTGATAGTCTTGAAAATCAGCTCTAAAAGGAGCCACTCTCTGTCAATCTTTGTCGCTAGCGAGGTTGCCATGAAAATGATCACCTACCATCAGACCAGGAAAAGACAAGGCTCTGATACCAACTAATGTAAGTAGAAGCGATAGAACGTTCACATGGAACGAGGTACCTTGAATCCACAAGGTGGTATATTTTGAATCCATAAACTAGAAGAAAATTCACAAAGGAATCTGGTAATATATTGATAAAAAGTTAATTCTACACTTTGTATTACACTTATTTATAATAATAGAAACCTAACACTAGAAGGAAACTAAAATATAATCCTATAAGGAAACTAATTCCTAGAGAAAAATAAAAATACAAGGAAACAAAATTAAAAATATAAAGAAATTATCTAAAACTAAAAACTCTCTAAAAATATAAAATAAAAATAAACAAATAAACCTAATTAAAAAAATACCAAAATATGTCCTACATCAGTAGTATATCATGAACACTTGAATTTCTTCAAATTTGTATCTGATTTTCAATCTTTGAAATTGTGAACTGAAAAATTACAACTCTCTCGAACTTGTTTTGACAACGAAATGAAATTAACTAATTATAAAATGTATATCTCACAGTTCCCCACTAGCCAAAGAAAAGAGCTTTAACTAAAAACAATTCTCTGTTGCAAAACTTGTGTAAAATTGGTGCAGAAGAATATATAGTTCTAGGAGTGATTGGTATGTTGAATAGAGTTTCGAACCGTGGCAGGCTCTTGCTAAGACATTGACAGTACCTCAGCTAACTTATTTCCAGGAACAATTTACACTTTTAGGACCAAACAAGAGCGGATTCATTTCTCTGCAGAACTTTAAAACAGTTAGCTCTTCCTCTCTCTCTCTCTCTCTCTCTCTCTCTCTATATATATATATATATATATATATATTATATCTGTTCTTGATTCTGTTGCTTTTACCCTATTCTCATTCTGAACTTGGCAGGCTGTGATAAAGAACTCAACCGAGGCCTTGAAGGATTCACGCGCAGGTTTTAGATTACGTCAACATGGTACCAACTTGCACATTTTTTCCTCCCTTTTTGTGCTTTTCGTCTTTTTCGTTAGGTTCACTAAGGATGTACCTAATTAACCAAATTAGCTGCCTATCAATTTAAAAGATGAAAAAGTAATCAGAATAGTGGCTGAATGTATACTTGTGTATTTTGCAGATGAGTTCTCTTCAATATAGAAAATTGGACTCTGAAGAATTTTGTGGTGCGGCCATAAGTGTGCACCAACTGGAAGCAATGGATAGCTGGGAGCAACATGCACGCCATGCATATGAGCTGTTTGAGAAGGATGGAAACAGACCTATTATGATAGAAGAACTTGCCTCAGTATGCTCTACTTCAACAACCCATGCACAAATTTTGTTTACTCCAAAAGAACAAAATTGTGAGATATATTTTTTTATTTATAACTTTTTGCTTCTTTTAACCAGGAACTTGGACTCAGCCCGTCAGTACCAGTTCATGTAGTTCTCCAAGACTGGATAAGACACTCAGATGGGAAACTCAGTTTCTTGGGATTTGTCAGACTTCTGCATGGAGGTTTGTCTTCGCACATATCAGAAGACTTGAAATAAAAAGCAAGCTACAAAAGTTCAATCTTAATCCTTCATGTCCTTGATCTACCATGTCTCAAAGGATCAATGTTGCCTGGCTAATGCGAGAGACCTCAAACAAGCAAGACTTACCTCTTACTACACAAAAGGTTACAATATGAAAGTATAGCCCATATGGCAGGAGTGAGAGACACAGCCATTTGCAACATATTCGATCTCCTGTCAGTATGTTCCCTTTTTACTATTTTATTTTATTTTATCCTTACCTTATATAATTTTGTTTTTCAATGTTTGGTGCCATTGGGTATTTAGAGGATTGTGCATTGAGGGTAGATCACAAAAATGTATTTAGAATTAGAGAGAAAAGAGACAAAGGCTAAAGAGGGCTTTGTGGTTTTGGGTGGTATATCCCTTGTGTGCCCAGTGCACTTGAATTCCTAATAAATACTTACTGTGATCTACAAGAATTAGCTGTTAAGGTTATAGGCAAATGGTTTCTGTTTGCATCTGTGGCATGTTGATTTGATTCTATAGTCTCATTGTAGTTAAAATTGTCCTGCAGGACTGCACTGGTCCTGTCATTGTAGATTTCACTCTTTCATATCTTTGGAGACACACCCTACAACATGGGTTACTCATACTTGTATTATAAGGTTTCTCTAGAAAATAAACTTTAAAAGGTGACCAAAGCTAGTTGGTTTTGCTTGATTCAATCACACAATCGCTCACCATCGGTAGCAACTGTACTCTCAGTAGAATGTAATTTTAGCCAATGAATGTTAAATCTATGACGACTATGAGTATGACAATGAAAATGCAACTGTTGAATGGATCACCCAAGTTAAAAGATGTGTGTTGGATATGCAAGATGGAACTAGTTCTTCACAGGAGCATGTAATGGTGATGGGTTCGTTCAGTTTATACATTGCCCGGCCACCATAAATATAAATTTCCTGCAACGTGGGCGACTGGTAATATACAGTTGAAGCGGCATGGGGTTTTCGTCCCTACTTGAGAAGTGATTGCTGTCCATTAGAGTTAGTATTTCCTCGGGGGGAGTGGTTGAAATGTGGCTCGGATCAGTGAGAAATCCAGATGTCAAATTCACCAAGTAAATATAATTTCTTTCCTCCACACAAAATCTGAAGTCCAACAATTCTTGTATGCATATAGTTATAATCCTGCAATCTAGGCTGAAAAGCATGTAAGGATGACAGGAACAGAAAAGTGCATGCTCCATTTTGGGGAGAGCTCTGCATTGGGTCCCTAAGAGCTGTAATTGTGTTGCCCATGAGCTTAGTCAATGGGCTCTTCATTGTATTCAAACTGATGTTGATCGAATGGGAGGTGTGGCCTCTCTGGATTTGCCTTCTCATTGATGTAGATTTGTTGCTTCTTTATAATATTATATTTTATTGGGGTTAATATATATATATATATATCTCTTTTATTTGGGAAAAAAATGTGTTCAGATGCATGGGCACAATGTTCTATCAACATAGTTATTATTGGCTCTATGAATCTTAGGACACCATGCTACTCGGAGGTATCTAGCTTTTCAATAGGATGAACTTTTGTAGTCTAACAGAAGCTTATTTATTGATACAATTATTTGAAGCACCACACACACACACACTCCATTAATATGTTTTCAAGAATATACTTAGTTGTTGTGGGTGCAGTAGCAGCAGTACTAGTACTTTTATGGCTCCTTATTGCTCCAAATTGATCTAATGGATAAGATGGAAGTTGTTGGACTCCTCCACTTAACCAAAAAAAATCTAATCTCATTTTTGTGTTGTAATATTTCCGATTTTTCCCGTTTTCTATTTTCTGGGATTTTTCAAGGTTATTTTTGTCTTGATTTGTTTTGCGTGCCGGATACCGTAGGGTGTGCCGGGTGTATCCTGAGAGTGGTTGGGATATCTCCTTGAGTTCAGGACTCTTGGAAATGTATTGGTTGTTATTTTGGCATTTTCCCGTTTTTTGAGCTGAGAGGTCCCACATGAGACCCGTTATCAGTTTATCATGTGTGGGGATTTTATTTTTGGATCCACTAGGTTTCATACATTATTATTTAATGCTTATATGCATGGTTATATGTTTAATTGTGGGGTGGTATTATGTTTAATGAATACACACACACACACACACACATATTGGTGATTAAAGATATTTGTTAAACCGTGGGACCCACCAGGGCCGCCACTTTGCGCTATCTTTTGTAATTTCTTTAGACCATCTCCAATGCAAAATGCCATTTTGGGTTGCCAAATCTATATTTTGGGAGGAGTTACAGTGTCAAAATGTTATATTTTAGTAATTCTGCTCCAATGGTGCATTTAATCCAAAATGCTATATTTTAGCCTCTATTGAACCAAGCCTAACTCACTTCTAGCTTCCCCAATCCTACTTTAACTCTGACTCTTGAGTATCGTTGATTTTGAAATTAGCTTTCCATCTTAACCATTCATTGCATTATGTCCCACATAATATTTTTAGGGAAAATCATTTCAGCCTCCCCAATCGCCTCCATCTTTATTCTCATTCTTGACTCTGAACTTGCCCTCTCTCTCTCTGCAATTGCAAACTACAAAATCTACAAGAATCAGACGTTCAAAACCCATATATTTTAGTTTATCTATTTGTTTGGAAGAATCAAAAGTTCAAAACCCATATCAGCATATCATTTCAGATTGTTCAAAAAATCAAAATCCATATTGGCATATCATTTCAGATTGTTCAAAAAATCAAAACCCATATCTTTCAATTTCAATTGCCCGCTGTTCCAGTTTGGGTTCGCCGTTTGCGAGCTTCAGCTACTGTCTCTCAACTCTCAAGTTTGCTCCCCTCTCTCTCTGCAACTGCTAACTTGTATGTATGGGTTTTTAAAAATAATTTTGAAAATTGTGAATAATTAAGATACATATACATATATTATATATATAACAACACTTACATAACTGATTTCAAATTGAGGGTTTCAAGAAATGGGAAATTGGAGGATTGAGGAAAACCAGATCTGTAAATGCCATCTGTGACCATGGAGAAATTGGCGGGTGGAACCAGAACGATTTTGTCTCGTTCTTCTTCTTCATCAATAATCAAACCCATTTGGGTTTGGTGTTCTGTTTTCTGGAGAGGTTTTGATTAGTGCAGGGAAGGTCAAGAAAAACAAGAAGACATTGTGGTGCTGGGTACAAAAATAGGGCTTTGTATTAAGAGTCAGATATACTAACATATATATATATATATATATAGAGAGAGAGAGAGAGATTGAAGTCAGATTTTGGAAATGGCAACAAACTTGTCATTACAGATGAGAAGGAGAAAGAGACGACAGGGCAATGCAGAGAAAGGGACAGAGATAGAATGGAACGAAAGGTAGAGGAGAGACGGATATTAAGGGAGATAGAGACGATAGAGGAATTAAGAGACTTGCTAAAAAAATTGGCAGTTGGATTTGAGAATCTAAAATTTTAAGAGCTTAAATGAGAGCCCATTAGAGAGCTCAATTTTTAACCCCCTCTCATATTTTGAATTTGAGAGCTCAAATGAGAGAGCATTGGCGTTGCTCTTACCAGACCTTAGTTCTTCTCTTCTTTCACGCAGCCAGCCCTCTCTCTCTCTCTCTCTTTTTATTTTCTTATTTTTTTTTCTTGTTTCTACCATTTTAAGATCTGATTTCTCTTTAACCATTGGGATTTAGACTTTGCAATTGAAGGCAAAGTCAACAAGCGCGACGAGGACTTTATTTTGATCAGAGCTGATCATTGTTTGGAGCTACTTTGGATTTTGAATTTTGGGTCAATTTGGGGATTTTTCTTCTAATTGAGGTAAGGGTGTCGAACCCACAATTTCCTTGATTATTGTGAATAAATTAGTTGTTATTCATGTCAAAGCATACTTAAGTATAGGATAATTATGTTATTTACCTTGGACAGCCTCCTATGTGGTTAAATTCACTGTTCTTTTGATTTTAGTTAATGAATTCGTGCTGTATTTTTATTGTATCTTGCTTACTATAATTCACTTGTTGATGACATATCTTACCTTGTGAATATGCCAACCTTCTTTGGAATGAATTTTGATTTAAATGTTGTGTTATTCCAATTGAAACTAAATTTTTAATGGAACTTTTCCTTTGAGACTAATATATATCATAAAAATTTCATGATTTTAGAGCGCATGCATATTTTTCTAAAAATCTGGAAGTATCTATTGTCCAATTTCATGTCACTACTGGAAAATGAAGTTTCGAGAAAATTGTTTAACTGATTTTCTCATGTAGAACAATTCTAAATATTTTATAGCAAGTTCCTACATCAGTCTAGTACGGTTTTGTAATTTTTGATGATTTTAAATAGTGTACTTAGTTTTATAAAAATTAAAGAGTAGCTGCTGTGTAGTTTCCAGTCACTGTTTGAAAGCAGGTTTTGACAAAGTTGTTTGGCTGAATCGGTTTCGGACACCAAACCCTAAGGCAACTTGAAAAAAGAATAAAACAAATAAATAAATAAAATAAAATAAATAATAAGAACTGGGAGTAACCGAGCACACCGTTGGAAAGATAGCGAAAAATTAGTCAAGTTTTAAAAAAAATTCACTTGAATCGGAGTCCGGACGAAGGAGAAAAGCTCTACCGAATTATTCAATAAAACTAACCAATCAATAAGAAGAAAACGCAATCCCATCCGACACATTTCATATAGAAGATGTTTAGACTTTAGAGAGATTGAACCTCTACTTTAAATTCCTCTTCTCCCTGCTTAGTATGTTTCACTTAGTCACTATCTATACTTGGCTGCATTATCACTTGCATAGTGTTTTTGATGCATGTCTATGTGTATTGATGCTATAGATCTAGAGATTATCAACATGATATGCTTAATGAATACTATTTTGGTTCATTTGCTTTTTTGCAGCCACGATCTCATTAGTTGGGAACACAAGGGGTTGATTGGAGACATTTGGATTATATGGAGGACGGCAGCTTGGTATAAGTTTGGGGGAAAGAAGTTTAGCTTTTTCACTGT